TTCTGGAGTAATTTACATGTTTAAAGTACCATCCTATATAATCAAAGGCTAATATGCAAATTGCCCCCTTGGGAGTTTGACCCACTGGGAGGTCAATGGCTCACTATGACCTGTGCTGACCACCAGGGGGCGGCCAGGGGGCGGAAGGCCCCAGGGGCCCTGATCACAGGCCATGAATCTCCAGCATCAGGCCTCCAGTTTATAATTGTCCCTGTACATTCCCATTTATTGAGCTCTTTACATGCATTTCCTTTCACCGCTACAACAAACATGCTATTTGTCATCTTACTGATGACGGGAAACTGAGCCTAAGGTGAAGGAGACATCTGTAGTACTGTCAACAATAAAATACAATAAAAATGAAATTAAAAAAAATAAAAATGGTAGGCTCTAAAGTGAAGAACTGGTTTGTTTTTCCCATGACACTCAAATACTTTGTCCAAGCATTACTTTTTAGCCTCAACTCTGCCCCACAGTTCATCCCGATTTTGAGGCCCACACTCCCCATCTCTGCTCCGATGGTGCCGAAAATAAATATTAATATGAAAATAAATATTAAGCAGAAATCAAAGCACATGGGCCTTCTCATCTTCCCCTCAGAAACGAACAGGGCCATGGGGCCCGGAGGCTGGTTGTGGCCAGACTTTGTGTCCTCAGCCCTTAGGCATAAAAGCAAAGGGTTAAGAATATGATGGCGGAACGCCCCCGGAGCCCTCAGGCTTTCCCTCTTTCTCCACAGGAAGGGAAGAAAGGCCGCTCCACCTTTCACCTGGCTGCCGCTCATCCCGCACTTCAGCATGGCTGAGGGCCCTAACAAGCTGAGTCGCAAGAGCGCCGCCACTCGACGCCTTAGGTTCCCGGATGTTGCCCGCGCCTTCAGAAGCTTCGAGGTCTCCCTCCCTCCCTTCCACTTCCCCTCCATCCCCGGAAGTAGCTTCGCGTTACGGCGGGAAAGAGCCTAGGCGGGCCACCGTACAGCGGTCTCCTGTGGACCTCTGTTTTCATTGGTTGTGAGCGAAGTGGGCGGGCCTCCGAGGAGTCTGAGGAAGAGGGCGGCGGCGGTTGTGGTGACTGAGCGGAGCCCAGTGACAGGATGGTGAGGATGGCAACTGCGGCGACCGAGGCCTGGCTCTCGGCCGGGGTGCTGCGTCGTAGGGAGCGGCTGGGAGTCTCTGGGCGAGGGGCGAGGCGATCCCGGAAGCCTGGGTGGGGGCGGTTCAGGCCCGGCCTGGGAAGGCCCGGGGGGG